GGGATGCACAATGAGTATGCGAGGTGGCCTGAATTCAGCCGAGCAGTGTGTGTTAATTCCATCAATCGATCTCGAAAAAAATTATCTTAATTTATCTGAATCTTTAGAACGATATAGTATATACGATTTAAATAATCTATCTGTAAAATAATGGAATTAAAAATTTTATGTAAGACGTTGTGTACTTTTTTTTTATGCATATAATTTTATGTTATGAATATAAAACAGAAGACAAAAATATTTCTACTTAGAATTCAGCTAAAGGGTACAATCTGTCAAGCAAATATTTATGGGACAAACAAACAATACAGATAGGTGAAGTACGCGATACGCTTGAGGATGAAAATGATATATAAGTAAGTATAAATAAAGCTACGAAACAAAATGCATAAGCTACATGTTTTGCGGCTTTCACTGATAATGGTCGCTGCTGGCTCATCGGATTTGTAACTAATAATATCATATATATCCTTATAATATGTAAAATATATCGATGTATAGAATTTCCAGAATTACATAGTCATTGTGCATCCTTAAAAAACAGAAACATCATTTTGCATGCAAACAATAGATACAATTTATCAAACTATGTCACAAAAAAGTATGAGATATGTTCGAATATATTAAAATCTCAACACTTAAATGTTTAAGATGCTAAGCATGCACTGAGGGTCCACTGCAAAGCTGTGATGTTTATGCTAGCACTCTCAGTCTGTACTTGTAATCGGATAATTGGATATAACGCGGCGACATATGAAATTATTAAATAATATATTTACTACTTGATATAATATAAAAAAATAAATTAACAAACATGAATGTATAATCAAATAAAATGATGAAATGAACAAAATAAAAAATGGAAAAAATAATATTATATATAAATATTATATATAACAATGTTTTACGCTGTAGAATAATTGATTTTCATGGACCTTTTTCACGCATGAAAGTAGATTCAGTGACGGTTACAATAATACATGCAATAATTATATATTAAAAAGGCCGATTTCGAATAACTGCAAATGACTTCGGTATTTTAACGTGCATTTCTCTTTCGAAGTAATATTTTATCCCTCTTGATGATTCAATTATTAATCAATTATAAAAAATGTTATAATTTGTAAATTTTAATATCAATAAGGAAATAATTTAATTATAATTATCTAATTATGTTTTGATCCAATTGTTTGTTTTGCATAGGATAATTGATTTAGGTTACAGAGTATATGAACGGTAAAAAAAAAAAAATATTCGTGAACGTACGATGATAATATTACAATTATACAAATTATTAGCATGCTGTAAAATACTGATATATCGTTAAATATAGATTTAATCAATCCAAGAACTTACCGTTTGGAGAATTTCGAGGACAATTTCGAGAAGAAAGACGGCCTTGCTAGAGGACTAATTGCATTTGTGTCCTGTGTTTGTGTGTGACCCTAAAAAAAATGATATTTTATATCAGTTGTATTAATAAAATTATTATAGTTTATATTATAAAATAAATAACGCTAATTATTATATGAAGCAAACTTTTATATCTTCTTTAGTTATGTCATTTTAGGTATTCACCTGAGTGTGATTTCGCTGTGCTCTATTTTGGCCAGAATGGAACGTGCTGCGACTCGGAACATTCCGTGGAAATGCTGGCGTAGTGGTTGTGGCCAGTCTGTTGCTCGTACATACACCCAAACTAATAACAAATAATGATTTTTATTTTAATATACATTGCAAATGCGTGTTAAATATATAGGTTGACTTTTTAGCATTTATACTTTTATGCATACTACAATAAATCGTAGGAAGTATGCTCGAGCGAATACACTACCATATTATTACCCATTCGATTCAAATAAAGCTGGATTCAAGATGCAAGAAAAGGCTAAGGTAGGTAAATTAATAAATAATTAATAAATTAGTTGTTTAAGTGATATGCATATTTCAGGAAATTATTTTAAGGTTATCATCGCACGAACAATTTGTCTTACAAATTAAACTTGTTACAAATAGAGTTAATAAAGCGACTATAAAAAGAGAAATTAGTATATATTAATAAAACATGTGCAGTATCGCGCGTATTATTATTTCAATAGACACAGTCTATTGTAACTGCTCATGCAGAAAGGGATTATTTCAATAGTATAATTATGTTGTTTGTGAAAGATATGTTTTAACTGCAATTGTATAACATTAAAGAGATGCTTTATGATTGTAAATGGCGTCAAGTATATAATTTAAATGTCAGTATTTTAATAAAAAAAATTTATAAAATAAGTAATAACTTCAAATAACTTCTATCTGTACCTTGGAAAATAGTAACTTTTCGAAGGTA